GAGTCACCCTTGCTATTGAAAGCTAACGCTCAGCTGGGAAACTCACAGGCCAAAGTCTTGGCATCTCTCGGTGCAGGGGAACCTGACCACTGTGTTTGGGTCAGCTGAGGTCCCACGCTTGATGAGAAACACCAAATTGCCTCTGGCCTCACCCTGCCCTTGGTGCTGTGGCAGTGTGCCTGCACTCGTGTGGCACACAGCCAGAGCTCTGGTGTGTCTGCGTGAGTGGTGCTTCCAGGATTCACAATGGATCAACCACCAGCTGAATATGTGTACACGTGACCTTCCTCACCTCCTCATCAACAAGGCTAAGGGTGCTGCTTGCTTATTTACCTACCATACAATGAAAACTTCCCTGTCTCTTAAGGTCAACCAAAATTTTCTTTGATGAGTCACAACATTCACATGGTACAAGGAGCATCTTATTTTCAATCCTTACAGCAGATCAAATGCCAGAACTCATATTTTCTATCTATAGATACGTCTGTTCCTCATCATACGCAAAGGTACCTACTTGCATAGGTGTGAGAGTTTCACTAGTAGATGCAAGTAGTCTATTTTCTTCATTTGGACTCATCTATGAGGATCAGTTATCTCCCAAACTCTGTTAAAGTCCAAATGAAAGAGAATGAATGGTCCTAAGCCTGAGAAAAACAGAAGGCTGTATCACTGAACTGTCAAAGCTATCAATGGGAGGTCCAATGGGATATTTAAAGGCACCACATCAGGTTAAACATCTATAGCCATTTACACGTATTTGTTTATTTGTTTTTTGTTTGTTTATACCGCAAGCACCCTTATGAATGACAGCAAGCACCCAGGTGCACCTTTAGTCACCTAAATACCTTTGGAAGCCTGACCCATGATGACCAGAAATAACAATTCACTAATTGAAAGATAATTTTAAACCATGAGTGATACTAAATTTACTTAACAATGATGCCAGCTTTCCTTCATGTCCCTGTGCTACTTCCTCACACTCTTGCCTCTCAGGGTATAATCCCAGGGACAGTGGTGCCTGGCTCCCTGTGACACTATCCATACTCTGTGATGGTCAAGGGAGGAGACACTGGTGAGGACCTCTTTTCTCTAGCCAGCAGTCACTTCTTATGAAACTAAAACCCACCAATAAATCTTTGCCAAATTTAGACAATTGATGTGAATATTATAGGGGAGGAGAGGGAAATGATTGTAAAAGCATTTGTAAGACTCTTGGTTCCTTGGAAAACAATGCTAAAAAACATTTTTAAATGCTGGTTTGTGAGATCTCTTGCTTGACAGATGACATTCGTTTCCTCTGATTTCTGCCAGACTCTGTTTTCATGAAAATGAATTCAGCAACTCAACATTTTTCACATATTAAAACCAGAAAACTTCAGGATTGGGAACCTTGATAAATAGGTTCTGCTTACACAATTACACGAAGATGCATTATGTGTTCTTTGTGAGCAAAAAATGCACCAAGTTTAGTCAAACAGCAGTATTTAGTTTCAATTCTCCATGTCTCCAAACCATATCCACCAATGAGAATGACTCTTATATACATTTATGACACAAACAAAACCCACAAGAGCAAAACACAGTTGAAGTCACGAAATCAACCTGTCCTCTAGCAACAGCCATGTTTCTTATGAGTTTGCTTATCCTAATACTCTTGTAATATTTTTTCACCATCACAACTCAACATGAAACTGTCATTACATGAAACTGTAGGGACTGCAGTGACAGGACAAGGGGTAATGGGTTGAAACTTAAACAGGGGAAGTTTAAATTGGATATAAGGAGGACGTTCTTTACTGTTAGGGTGGTGAGGCACTGGTTGCCCAGGGAGGTTGTGAATGCTCCATCCCTGGCAGTGTTCAAGGCCAGGTTGGACAGATCCGTGGGTGACATGGTTTAGTGTGGGGTGTCCCTGCCCATGGCGGGGGGGTTGGAACTAGATGATCTTAAGGCCCTTTCCAACCCTAACTATTCTATGATTCTATGATTATTGTTATATATTACTGGCTATAGTAAAATATTAAGTGTGAAAAATCTAACAGACAACAGCTGTTATCCATATAACATTATTTTTTTCATTTTTTACAAAAGATGAATTATTGTTTCATTTGCCAAAGTTATAACTAAGTTATAATGAATAATATTTCATAATAAAGAAGAAAGAGTGAACTCCACTAATATTCTGAACATGTTTCACTTTCTTTTGAGAACAGTATAACCTAAACGCCAAAAAAAAGAAAATTTTATTCACACAGAACTATAGGATCCCCTTCAATATTCAGATGATAAACAGCTCAAGCTATTGAACTGAGAAATTAAAATTCAGAAAAGTCAGGAATTAGGCCAGTTGTAGTGGCGACTCGCTATGGAAACAGCACAGGAAAGACAGCTGTGGCCTCCTTGATTTTAAGGACTTTGCACGCAATTTCCATTCTTATAAATAAAAAGAGCTTTCTCCTAGCTCATTTCATTATAGGGAGAGGTGCAAAACTGCAGACCCACCTCACAGGGATGGGAGTTCAGGGCAGCCCATCACAGCAGGCTGCGGCAGGGAGCACTGGCTGCCTGTACTGCCTGCACGGCCCATGCACCCACCCAGGTCTTGCCTTGGGTATGGGCAGCAGCTGCACCCCTGGCTTCCCTAAGAATTGTTCCTGTGGGTGCCTCTCCCAGGAAGCCACTGTACATTGTCACACCATGAAATCTGGGCAAATCTTCCCTGGTCCAACCACTAAAGCCTTTTCACTGTAAGGTGGCTTGGATCATAGAACTCAATAGTAAATTCCCATTTTACTTTCTATGGCCATGCAGTAGGATTAGCACTCCAAGACAGAGTGAGATAAAATGCTGTATCACAAAGAGGTTAAAAAAAGAGAGTGAAAGAGCATTAAAAGTGTCCAGACATTTCAGAAATCATTATCTTACCATGGTCAATGTATTAGATTAAATGATAAAAGGAGTAAAAATTAAAGGAAGGAAAAAAACCTCAAGCCTCTTAATTTAATTTAATCTCTCAATTGTGTATCGCTCTTCCTTTCTTTCTCTAAATCTAGAAGGAAAGGTTACTTTGAGCAATAGTATTTTTGGATTCTGTAATTAAGTAACTGAATTAAAGAAACAAAGAAAATAGCCTCAAATCTCTAAAATCACAGGATGTAAGAGGCCCCCAGTTTCCAACTGAGTTGGAGAAACTGTTCAAATGACCTTTGAAGATTTTCAAATTCTCCTGCCAGGGTCTATCCCTCACCTTGTCCACAACTACAGGATTTGCAGCGCAAGCAGGACACAAACAGGGAAAACAGCAACTTGCTTCCTCCTTCTTCTTCCTACCCTTTTAATGATTAAATTCATGGGAAGATGTAGGTAAAGAAGAAAATCAGGAATGAAACATCAGGCCTGGGAGGAATAACAGCTGTGAGGAACCAGTGACTTAGAGTCTACTTAGATGGGTTGGAAGCATTTCTATTGATGCTATTACAAATTCTACCATTGTGAAGATTGCCAAGCCATTCAGAAAGACTAATCCATAAATTTTAAATGTTTGTTCAAGGATGCAGATACTTGCACTTTACCTTACACAGAAATCTATGCTAGAATAAGATGCTTGCAAGCTAGGACAAAGCCCGGGGGGGGGGGGGGGGGGGGGGCGACACCGCATCCAGACCAGTCTTTAGAAGATATGCCAGCTACCTCCATGAGCTGCAGTCCTCAATTAGGGACATTTCCATACATATTGCTCTTCTGTCTCTTTATTTTCTGATGCAGCCAGGCTACCTGCTCCATGACTACTCTGTGATCCTACAACTACCCTCATTATGGTTCATGCTTACACAGCTCTTGGCAGAGAATGAACAGCTCTGATCTGGAAATTGTTTCATAGGGACTTTCCACACACCACAGTCTCTTTTTTAAAGAACTTCTCACAGCACTGAATGACTGATTTATCTTCATATAACCATATTTTTATTTTAAAATACTATGGAAAGTGTGAGCCTTCAAATGTAGCAACTGCCTAGTGCTGTGGTTCATACTGCATTTTGCTAAAGCATATGTCACCATGAAAGTGCTCTGCTACTAAGACTCAGTGTGAACTCCTCTGCAATTTAAATGCAACGCTATGTTCCTTAGAGCCCAAAAGAAGAAAGAAAGGGGCGAAGGGAAGTCTAATATTATATTTTAATAACTGAACAAAACTCTGGTATTTGACTTTGTGATAGAAAAACTGACTACTTAGTTACAGTTTTAAAGAACAGAGTATTTCCAGCAGAAAAGTTTTGCCTCCAAGACCAACACAGACAAAAATCATCTCACAATTAGCCATAAAAATAATCCTTGTGAAGGGCTGAGGTGGCAGCGGGCAAAGTGGAAACCCCAGAGCCGAGCTGAGGCACACACCTGTGCGTGTGCCCCTTACTTCCCTAACGCCGATGCTCGGCGCCCTCCTTGTCCCGAGCAAGGTGCTGGATGTGCGAAGAAGAGCGCATCCCTCCATCCCTCCCGCCTACTCTAGACACCCTGAAGGCAGCAGCCAGCGGGCTCCCTTCGGGGAGGCGGCTGCCCCAGGGGGTCGTGCCCGGCTCACCGGAGTGCTGTGCTGGCAGTGGGATTGGGATGGCTATCGGTGCCCCGGCATCGGCCGCCTTTCTCCATCAGAGGAAGAGCTGCCCGCTCCTCATCGGGGACCCTGGACACCTTCCCGAACACTTGCCGCACTCAGCGCTCGCACTTTCATACCCTCTGCCACAAAACACCCGACGCACCGAGGCCCCCGAGGACGAGCCGTAGCTCCCGGCGTTTCCCGGCCAGCACAGGGGAACCCCGCGGCACCCGGCGAGCCGAGCTCTGCTGCCCCTTCCCTTCCCTACCCCCGGCGCTCCCGCAGCCTCGCCCCTCCCTCCCTCTACCTCAAGCCCAGCGCCGTTGCGCAACGCCCGGGGCTGAACCGCGCGTCCCCGCCGCACCCACGTGTCCGGCACCGGCTCGGCACTGCGCGCACTTACTCCGCGGGGCCTCCGGCGCGGCGGCGCGGGCCCGGAGGTTCCCCAGGAGCGGCGCCCGGCGGTAAGTTGCGAGGAGCGCGGAGCCGCGCTGGGCGGGGAGGGGTTTCGGGGAGGCGGCGGCGAGGAAACTTCCCCGGAGCGGCTCGCCCGCTCGCCCGCCCTCCCGCCTGCTCCGCCTCGCCTCCTCCCGCCGCCGCCTCGCCCGGAGGCAACACCGCGCCTGCCCGGCCGCACCGCCCGCCGCCCGGCTCGCCGAGGCCCACCGAGAGCGCCGCCGACCTCTTCCGGCAGCTTCCCTCCGTCCTTTACTTAGATTATCTGTTTTTAAGCGGGACAGCACTGCTGGAGAGGGGATGGATGGTCCCTGAGGAATCCCGGCTTCCTGCAGTGCTGTGGGGATGCGTGGGGTGTCTGCGGGTTAAAGACCCGGGCTGGAGCGCCGCCGCTTCCCCGGCAGCGTGGGGCTGCAGGGCGGGCAGCCGGGGGATACCTGCAGCAGTCCCGGCCGCAGGGCGTTATCTGACACCGCTGCTCACCGCGATGGGGAGTCATCCAGCGCTGCCCTTGATGGAGAGGGCAAAGAATGAGTCAAGACATCAAGGACAGCATGGGGATGCTGCTCTGGGAGACGCTGTGCTAGGCGAATGGCACCTGACCCCACGGAGCTCGGATCATCACTAAAATCAGAGCGTATGCACGTCATCCCCTCCTCATTACCTATGAAGAGAGAAAGCATGTGTATGATTCCGTGTGTGTTATGCTTCAGGTACAGAGCCAGTGCAAAACAGTGATAGAACATTCTTTTCTTGCCCACCCTGGAGGTCTGAACTTAGACCCTGCATGAAGTGTGAAGCATGGGTTCCTGAGTGTAACACAATGAGTGCCCTGCTCAATTTGTCAAGCTGCTCCAACATAGAAGCAGCACGATCACTGATTTTTTACCTGTATGGTAAAGATGAACATTGTAGTCCAGGCCTCCTCCTCCTTTTCTTCTTTCTTAAACCAGAAGTCAAAATAAGAAAGTTGCCATTGCCTCAAGCTCTTCCATTATTTTGGACACTTGTCTTCAGGATGTACTTTTCTGCTATTTTCCCTTTCCAGCTCTTCACAGTCTGCCTGTATGCTGGTTTCAGAAAGTAAAAAATACACCTACCTTTAGAGAAAAGGCAGTTATGTTCCCACAAGCACTTAACAATCTTCCTTAACCATAGATACACCAGTGATGCCACGGACATCCTGTACTTCAGCCCACTTGAATCACCAGAATATCTAGATGTTTGTCCTAAAGGATCCCAGTCACTTGGAATCCATTCTTGCTTTTTCACAATTTTAAGGGCTTTTCCCCCACACACACTTGTTTCTTCTCTGGTGTAACAGTCCTGTAAATTAGAGGGTGAGAGTTAATTAAACTGTCAAGCACAAGGCTACATACAAACTGGCAAGCTGAAATGGACTCCACATCCTTTTGAAGCTAAATTGATCCTTTAGGCTGTATTTTGATTTATGGAATATTTATGTACGTGTCTATATATATTTCATTTTTATTAGACCATTTGTAGTTCAACACAATTTTAGGATATTAAGCAGAGCTTACTCTAATTCCCATTAAATTCTGTAGCCAAACTCACCTTGACCCATGACATTGGGAAATAACAGATTATACTACCACAGCTGAGCATTTTTATACTGCAAGGAAGCATATTAAATTGTCCTAACATACTTGAGAGGAGAATGGGATCCATGGGTTATAAAAATCGTGGTCCACAGATTATAAGAAAGACTCAAGAGAGGTCCACTTGCTCCCTTCTAGTGCAATATGAAAGGGAGAAGAGCAGATGTGGATCCATAAAAATCTCTGGAAACAAACAGGAAAACAGGGTCTCTGCAACATACTTTCCCTTGAATTCATGGAATAGATATGTGCAGCCTAAATTCTACATTGTACAAGAGCAGTTGCTTCAGAAATTCATGATCTTTTACTGGGCAGGTGGCTCACTATCCACTCTTTGATGAAGCCTTTGCTTTGAAGCCAAGTGAGGTGTAGAACTAAGCCTATCTCCAAATTCTTTCCCTTTTCACCTAGAGATCTTGCCTGGTAAAAAATTGAAGATTTATACTTCCTAGGTATTTACTGGTTTTGAGCAAGTGGTAGTCAGAAACCATACTGGTGTATGTGGCTGATACCTCAGAATAAAATATAAACTCTGCTCCAGAGAGTAAATGTTGCACAGGCATGTGAGAATGCTGGCAACAAAGTCTTGAGGAGGACTATGCTCTCCTGAGAGCCCTGAGCCTAGTTGTGGAAATAAAAGAGCAGACCTTATAGGAAGCTCTGGACACCATAATGATGGGTGATTTGGGTTGTCTTAGATTTGCAGTGTTTGTGTTGGCTTTCCCTTTCTGCAGGGTTTCGTACTGTTGATGTGAGAAGAATCAAGTAAAGCCTATATAATATTCAAGCACTGAGTAAAACATTAACATAATTACTATATTAATCAAAAGGAGTGATTAATAAACATGGTTTATAGAACAAAACATTTAAAACAGCATTCAGATTGCCATCCTACCTCTTTGAGTCCAGGCTCATGAGTTGTCAAGCATCAGCTATTGGCACTGGAGTAAAAGCAAGTTGTGAAATCTCCCTTCCACCCCAAGAGCTGTCAGATCACCTGCTGCCATTATCTCCTTATCTGCAGCAGATTTTAAGTGGTTTACATGACCTATAGTGTTATCTAAACCCAGTTTGGGTCTTCCTTGTATAGCTAACGAATTTCAGTAAGAGTAGTAAGAAAACATAGTAGGACTAACAGCTCAGAGCCCTGAAATTTGGAATACCAGTGCCTTTGAGAACTGACAATAGCTCCAAGGTAAGCAGTTTCTTTTCTGTTATTCTTTCACTCCTCAAAACAAGCACCTTTCCAGATCTGAGAGCCCCTGGCAAGTATGATGAATGGCAAATCCTTATGAAGGCTATAGTCTAGCCAGAAGTGTTAGGATTTAGCACACTCTACAAATTCTCATCTGAAATAGAAGTCTCAGGAGCCAATTTCTGGAACATAATTTATTTCAGACGCTAGCTGGAATAAACAGCATTCTGTAACCTCCTCAGATATTTTGCCGGTAGGGAGCTGTCTTTATACTTCTTTCAATTGAGTTAGTGGTCCAAATACAAAATTCATCACTCCAGAATACAATGTGGTTTTACAGACTCGAGGATTTGAGTTCATTAGGAGACATTGTTGTGCCCTATCTGCATGGCTTTTTCCTTCTCTGTCAGGTCTTACTGTAGCATGCTGCTTTCTTTGCCCTGATGAGTAAGAAACAATCCAGCACTCAGTCTATACTGTGGTTTGTAACTGTCTAGAAGTGATGCAAGCATACATTCAGTCTCTAAAATATTATGTTACTTAAGTGAAGTTTCATCCTTGAAAGCGAGTATAAAACGGGACCTCCTTAGTAAACATCCTCTATTCTGCTTTGGAGTCTTTTGGGATTCGTTCTGTTCCAGATGGGCATTCTTAGTATTGTGGCCCCTAGTCCCCTGCACAATGTACACAGCTGGGCTAGACAAGCTAGATGTTGCTCGGGCACAGCATTGTGAACAAAAGCACTGCCAGGAGCCTAAATCTGACTCACCCACACAAAGAAGGACAAATGAAACTTGAGCTTTGCTGTTCCAGAGTTGGCTGCCATTGAGCTACATCTCTGCTGCATCGAGATGTCATTAAAAGTAAAATTTGTATTGCTAGATAAAAATACCACATTCAAAGAAAGTGTTTTCAGTAATGGTTTCTAATGGGACATGGAAACATTTCTGAGACAGATGCTGTTGGGATCCAGTACAAGCTGGCACCTGTAACACATCTTGGGGAGCCACTGGGACATGGAAACATTTCTGAGACAGATGCTGTTGGGATCCAGTACAAGCTGGCACCTGTAACACATCTTGGGGAGCCACTGTAAAAAAAGACCTTCTCTTACCCCTTTAGAAGATCCCACGAGTGGACAAGTAACAAATAGTCCATTCAAACGTGAATCTGTTTAATCTTCTAACTCTTGGTTATGTTTTTTTTGACTTCCCAAAATAAACTGTTTTCATCTGTAATACATATATTTTCAATACCTCCAGTGTTTGTTGTCACCTTGCAAATGATATGCTAACATAGAAAATAAAACTTTAAATATTTCTCCCTCTGCTATGCTGCTCATCGGTACCTCCCTGGTACTCTGTTATATTGTCAATATCTTTATCCAAAACTGGTAAAGATGGAGGGATGTGGGAAAAGCAGCCACTTAACATGGTGCGGGTCAGATAAAAAGATCATCTTCCAGCTTCATCACCTGGTAATTGCGTGGCTGCAGACAGAAACTTTCCCCATGCTCCCCAGATCAGAGTTAAAAGTCCCTCTGACTTCCAAGGAGTTTTAAGAACTTTTTTTCAGTATCTGGAAATTCACCTCTAGTACTTTCTAAGATCTAATAAGAATGTAAGCACTCCTGTTTGTAATTTTAAAACTACTCACAGAGATAACTATGAATACATAGATTTACATAAGTTTCCTCCGTGAAATAACTGGCTAAAACCAGATTATAAAGTAAATTATCAATGAAATCCTATTTATATTTTAAACTCGCCGATAATTTGTGTTGTGCCTTTGTTCATTAAGACCTCCAAACTGAGTAATTCCATGTGAAATGGAATATTATCCTTAGCTTTGGTCTTTCTACAACTGTAAACAAGGTGCTTCAACAGCAAAGGCCTGGAAGGAGAAGCCAGTGTACATAACACAGCTATTACTGGGAGGCTCAACCGTTCAGGGGGACAATACATTTGTTTAAGTACATATACTGCAAACACGAACTTGTGCATTGTTTTTGCGTTAGGCCACTTGTGGAAGTAGTGAAGTGGAGAGTCACTGTTGCAAATTTGGAACTGCAGTTTATCAGATAGAGGAGTTTAATCAAAGGTGTCTTGTTTGGGGATCTCAGAAAACTTGTATATATTTGATGTTCCTCATTCTCTGTAACACACTGTGGCTCGATTTAACTCTTAGCAGTCCGAGAGGTCGGTTCCTCAAATTTAATCATTTTGTTGACAATGTAAGTCTTGCTTATCTGCCATTGC